GACTGCTGTAGCTGAACCCAGGACATGGAGGGAGAGGGGGACGGCGCGGGACCCCGTCCCGTCCTGCCTGCATCCATCTACAAGTCTCATATATACTTCTGTGGGTTAGTCGATTTCTCGCTGCTTTCTCTGTATCCTTACAACTTCCTTGAGAGCTTTCTGGGTTCTTAGTCTTATTTTGTAATTGTTAATATCTACTCTATTTATTGGTTTAAGCTTTTTTTTTTTTTTTTTTTTTTTCTTTCTTAGCAGCTATTAGGTTCACAGAAAAAAAAAAAAAAACCAACCTCAAAACCAACCCTTGTGGTCGTAGCACTGATACAGTCCACTAGGAGCACAGAGCAGGCAGACTTTTTTAATGCACAAATTTGATAATATTTGCAAAATTTAGAGGGGTAGACTAAGGGGAGATTCTCTTATCACAGGCTAACAGTTTTCTAATTATTTGTTTGCTGGTATGGAGTGAAGTTCTCAGAACAAACTTCTGCCGTTCCTTTCATGTTTTAAGCCAACTCTTCAGTAAATACAACTAAGCTTATGCTAAAAAAGCACCCTTCTTATTTTGTTTCATGCAGTGCTGAAAGTTAGTATTTTCCTTGTGCAGCTTCGAAAGCAGATAAGACGCTGTGGAAAGTAGAATGTCAGAAGATACTGAGGGAATTGAAAAACAAATAGAAGTTGAATTAAGCAGAATCAGTGTTTCTTCCTTTGAAGCAGATGATCCTGACACAGAGGTATCAGATGGAGCTTTGAGTGACAGTGAGATGGTAAGTATTCAATGGGCTAAATGTGCTTCTATTTCTGCTTGAAAGTAGTACAGACACTGGAAAGCAGCAGATCTAATGAATTAACTTTTTCTTGACATACCTAACATGAGGATTTATTCTGAAAAGTTGTCTCAGTAGTATTTCTTCATGAAAAAATGTGTTCCAGTCAAAATTTACTTAGAATGTAATTAAAAATGAGAATTATTAATTGTTCAGTAGGTGATACGACAATGGGAAGAGAGTAGGAATTGTTTGTTAGCCACTGCTACTAAATCTACATCAATGCTTTATAGGTGAAGCCAAAATGGGTATTCTTGCATGTCAAGTATTTACCCCTGATCATGGTTGTGAGATGAAAATGCAGAATTTGTGTCAAATACTGTGTTTTTCTAGATTTCAGATGACTTGCCAGAATCAGTTATCTCCTATTTAAACTTTATAAAGAGCAGAAATCAAGATGCTGAAAAGTTTATACTGCAAGACTTAAAAGATGAAGAAACTACAAGTAAGCAAGGGTCACAGATAAAATATCTTGCACCTCATATTGCCAGTGGAAGTTAGACTAACAATCTGAAGCCAAATTCAGAGTTCATATGCCCAGGGAGCTGGCATTGTCTGTTCCATTGTAATTTTTCACATCATCTTGGGTTTCGTACTCATGTAGTATAATGGTCTTTGTGAACAGAAGTTCAGTTATTGTCTATATATTTTTGTATTTTTATATTTCATATTATATTTAGTGGGCACTTACTCTTTTTCATTATTTTTGTAGTTCTTTGGTTTTTGACCTATCTGATACAAGTTCTATTGTATTTTTCTACACGGAAAATGTTCTGCTGTGTTCTATGCTATGGAATTCTCTTTCATATTTCCTATCACTGGATTCTTGCAATAGCATTGTGTGTGTTCCAGATGCACTTATTTGCTGCTTTTAATGTAGATAAATGACTCTCCTATATACTTGAGTAAAATTGGGCCTGTTTAAGAGTTTTAAAGGGAAATAATATTTTATTCTACTTTAAAGAAATGTAGTAGCAAAGCAATATAGAACAGAAGTGAGTACTGGCAAGGGATTTTATCTCTGTGTACTAAATTATATATTTATTTCTTCTTTAGGTAACATTTATGGAGTAGTTTCTTGCCATGCTTCAGATTACTTGGCAGAATTGGCTCCTGAATATAATGAAGATCCAGAACAAGTTAAAAAAAAGGTATTCTCTATTTAAACAATATTTAGATTGAAGAAAATTCTGTTAACTTATCTAGATAATTTACACTTGCTTTGTTGACCTCCTAATCTTATTTCCTAAGGACACCTATAGATGTGTTCAGTTTTGTTTCTGTTAGACTAAGGTATTAAGATGAGTTTGTACATGCCGTTCCTTATAACCAGGTCATCAGCTGTAATGCACCATGTTTATAAGTTTTAAAATTTGGAATAAATTCTCTGTATCAGTAGTTGAGGTGCTGAGCACAAAAATCAACAAGATGAAACAAAACTGAATAATCTTTTATTGTTAATTATTTGCAGAATATTATCGCAATAGTATGATAACACTTTTAAAATTCTCTGATCTTACTCTTTTCATCATGATTAGGAGGATGTGCTACTATTAATCTTGCCCCTAATATATTCCATTATTTTATAGAAAATGTAAAGATAATAATGTCTGTAACTTTCAAAGACAAATCAAGAACTATGAATCTGGATTCTTTTATGTTTTCATAGGATTTATGAATAACTTGCTGAAGTTTTTAGAAAAATGTAAAACTGTATTTAATTTAATCACTTTTAATTTGTTGCCTGACTTTTATTAGTGAACATTTTTGCAAACATGATTTTTAGTTCTCAGAACACCATTGTTTAACACAATTACTTTATGTGTCTTCAGCTGTATTACAAATATTAATATATGTCCCAAGCATCTGATGAACAGATGATAAGCACAGGAATAGATTACTTCTTGCCAATAAAGAACAATGTCCAGAGCATTACTTTCAAGTAGATTCCTTATAAAATTTACTCTGTAACTAGTTCTTCCCCCTTAATGTGCATAACAGTATTAATGCATAAATATAGTGCTTAGTTCCAGAGAAAGTAAAACAAATCCCAAATGCAAACCATTCATTTTTCAAAGTCAAAATATAACATATATTTAAAAAAACCACATAGAAATAATATGTATTTCGACAAATGCTCCAATATTTAGTACTCTAGAAAACAGTATTTTGACTGTATTCAATGTCTAAAGATTCCAGTCAGTAGGAAGTTTTGTATAATTGTACTTTTAATATGATGAAAAGCTTATTCTTGTTCTGGAAGATTTTTGTTTTGTTCTGCTTTTACATTTTGTTTCTGGTTTTTTAATGACAATATTAAACTATATTAGGTACTATTTGAAATTGAAAATGAAGACTTACAGATTGTTACAACAACTAGTTGTAATAGTCAGTCCACCAGTGATGAAGTGGTATCTGATGACCATTTTGTTACAGGTAAGCAAATGCATTAGTCTTTTGGCTGAGTTGCTCTTCAGTGTCATGTCACTATTTCCTGGTTTTCTGTTTTCATGAGTATCCTAACATTCTTTGTAAAGAATTACATGCTTCAGTATGCAGTAAATTTTGATACTTCATGAATTGGACATGAATAAATGCTTGTGCTTTTATCTCATTTCAGGATCACAAAATTACCCTTTTTCTCTAATGTCTTGATAGAAATTTGTTTCAAAAAATACTTCTCAAAAATGATTGAAATATTTATGGATACAAATAATTATGGATACAAATGGAAACCAGATTTGATGCACTAAGCAGGTTGTGCTTTGGTCATAACTTACCGTCACCTTGACTGGGAATGTTTCCCTTTGCCATGTCCTTTTGCATGTTTTGGGGGTGGACTGCATCAGTTATAAAACCCCCGCTGTTAGCCACAGAAGACATTAATCCTGGATCCAAAGTGTAATCCCAAAACACACATTGATAGAATAAGAATGATTATAATAGAGTCAGTAAATGTGTGTCATGATGATAAGAAATCTCTGATAAAAAAGACTCGTGTTGTAGTTCTGATTTCCCTGGGGATATATATTGCTCTTTATCAGCATAGAATCCTTTTCTTGTCAATTCTTTAAAACTTTTTAATGTCCCCAGTGCTTCTAAGGTAATTAAATAAAAGGTTTGCTTGGTTGATTACAAATTCATAGCTGATGTTGAAATGAGCATAAGCCTTACTCATCGTGAAGTAGAAGAAAAGTGTAAACAAGAACTTAAGCAGTGGGAGAAAAGACAAAAGGAGCTTGAAGATGAGAAGAGGAAAAAGTGGAAAGCTGAGAGGGAAGCACAGGAAAAACAAAATGAAGAGGAACAGAAAAGAAGGGTGCAGCATCTGGAGGAATTTGAGGCTGAAAAACTAAAGTTAGAGCTTCTTCTTAAGGTAATCAATGATACTAAAGTCAATCTGTTCCCATCTAGACTATCTTAATTCAAGATCTAATGTGAAAAAGAGAGTACTGTCCCAAACCGTATGACTGTCCTAAACTCTGTCTACTTGTGATCCCAAAGTGAAATGTAAGACATATTTAAGTATGATCCATTGAATTTTATGCATTTACTGCTTTGATCAACAGTGAATGAATTTGCTATGCTAGGTGTTAAATTATTCTGTTGGCTTTGCCCTTACTAAGTTTTTCTATTATGACACTAGCCAAAGTACCAGAAATGAGAGTTGGTCTAAATTACTCACAAATGAAAAATGGTCACTGTGCTTTTGTTGAAAATACTTACTTCCTTTGTACCTCCCACCCCAATTTAATATTTAGAAGAAAAATCATAGGTGAAGTTTTCTGAGCCAAAATCATTCAGTTCAGAAATGCTGGCTTTGTGCTTCATCTAGGTAAAAGTTACAATACTTCCTTTTCTTGTCTGTATCTGGGAGTCTGGCTTCATCTACAGAGTACTGCCACAATGGATGACTCCACACGTCGGCTGGTTGCATTCTCGAAGTATATAGTCATGTTTTGTGATAGTGTGCATCATGCATACTGAAGAATAAAATTTGATAGCTCCCCACAAAGGAGCATGAGAATGTGAAGAAGTGTACCTCTCAGTCATTATTTAGCCTAAATATTTGTGGTTTAAGAGATGCATTACACTGCATTTTTAGTTAACTAATATGTAGCTTTCTGAGGAGGTGGGCATGTTGGTCCCAGCAAGGTAATTAAAGTCACCAAAATTAAGGAAGGGCTTAGTAAGTGAAAAGACCTTTGATTTCTGAAGGCCAGTTCAGTGTCTGATACAGCTTTTCAATAGGCCACAAAATTGACTGGGCTTTCTCTGCTCTTTCATGTCATGAAGCATTTTTGAATGTAGAATTACTTTCTTTCTCTGGACAAGGTGGGGCATATCCCCATTTAGACACTTCAGTAGTGCTGTCACTAGCACACTCTTTTTGGAGGTGAGATGTAGAGACTAACTTCTACCATTACAGAAGGATCTAGCTGTTTAGATTCCTACTGTCTCAACAGTATGCTTCTAAATACGTATGAAAAACAGTGCTTAGGCGTCCAGGAGACTTTATGCTCCAAGTTGGAAGTACTAGTTTGTTTATACTGGTTCCTTCATAATACTGGTGTATATTTGATTTGGCTAATACTGATTTATCTTGGATCCACTAGAAATTATGTAGTTCTGGATCAGCCTCTGTTTATTAGGTACTTCCTGGCTGCTAATTTTCAGTCAGATGTAATTTCCAGATAATTCAGATTTTTTCTGATTAAGAATATGTTGGGAAAGAAGGGAAATGCTATTTATTTGCAAATAGTGAGAAAATAGACTTGAACTTTCATTTTCTGTTGAGCAACAATTTCAGTGAAAAGTATTTAGCTTTACTGAACAGAATTCCTGTTTGGAAGTTTTTAAGATCAACAGTAAAATACCAGTGCAATTAAAGGAGGATTGTTCATGCTACTTTCAGAGTGTTTTGCTTATGTTTCTATTATCTACCTGTACTTTGAATAGTTGTTTCACAAGCATAGTTTTCATCTTCAACAGTTGTACAGAACTTGGAGAGGAAGGTGGCAGTTGTTTCGGCCAGTACCAAGATGCTGACTCTCTGAAGGTGTCATCCTTCAGTACATGACCAAATCTGCATTACCACTGCAAGCGTCCAGTTTGTTTTATTCTTGCACAGCTGAGTTTCTAATTTTAATTTAGGCATTCACAGAAGTGGACTATTGCAAAGTCAAGAAGATGGGAGAGATTGAAGAGAGGGAGGTTTGTAATGTTCCAGGTTTTGTACAATATTCACTTAAGTTAATTTGTTGTGCAGAAACACCGAATTGCAATAGAAGATGAGTTACAGAAAGAAAAGAAAGCTTGGAGAGACAAAATGATGCAACATGAGGTAAGGTTCTACAATGAGCTTTTGTCAAAAGACTGTGAGGTTGCTATCACATATTTTAGAATAAATGTTATTCTAAACCAGTTAATACACCATATTCTATTTATTAATGATAAATATATGCTAACACCTGTCATATTTTTAAAAGTGTTTGAAGTCTATCTTAATTGTTTTGGTCTAGGAATTTATCATGAAGCTACATTTGCAAATGGAAGATGAGAAAAATGCCTCGGAAAAGCAGAAAGCAAAAGAAATACAACACATGACAGAGCAACAGAATACAGCAGCTGTGAAAATCCAAGCTAGATTTAGGTCATTTTTAGTCCATAAAAAGTATGTTCCCATCTTAAAAGATGCAATGAAAAAGAAGCAGAAAATACTAGAAGAAATAGAGAGAGAAATGAAAGAAAAAGAGTTAAAAATGAATATGCGAGTGGAAGAAAATAGGCAAAAGAAAGAAGAAGAAGAAAAGAGACAAGAGCTTCTTGAAAGACAGGAATATTTGGAACAGGTGAGGAGACATGAGGATTATAAGAAAAAGAAAGAAAGCCTGAGACCTGAAAGAGAAAAACAGTTGCAAATAAGAAGAGAAGAACAGAGAAAACTAGGAGAAAAAAAAGCAAAAGCTGTGATGAGTGAAAGCACAGAAAAGAAGAAAGAAAACATAAACAACTGTAAGCAGATAGAAAAAACAGAAGTGATAAGAGAACAGGAGGAGGAACTAAATAAGCAAGTAGAGTACCAAGAAGAAAAACAAACTGAAAGGATGGATGAAAAAGCATATTGGATTATTCCAGCAAAAAGATCTCTGACACCAACGTCAAATATGCTAGGATCTGAGAAGGAACACTTTTCTCAAGTAAATAATGAGAACATATACAAAAATTCAGTAACACATGTAGAAGAAAATTACTCACAAACTAGAGATTTTAATAAAGCTTCAAGTATTCATACTTCAAACAATGAATCTGTTAATTTTGGAGCTAATGACATGGTAGAAAATAAGGCAAGCAATATATACAGCAGTCCACCAATTGTCCAACCAAATGGTGGTAATAGAGAAGTTAAAGATAATTTTTCTCAATCTGAAACAAGGAAGAAAACTCTGTTTTTAATGGAAGATGCTAATGAAGTCAGAGAGACTTCAGACAAAATTCAAGATTTAGCTGAGTGTTCCAGTAGACTAATTCTTCCTGATGATATTGAAAAGAAGAGAATAAACTGGATGAACACATGTAAATCTTGGTCTAAAATACATGAAGAAAATCAAAGAAAGCAAGCAGCTGTAAAAAAACGACCAAGGAAGAGTTCACTTAGCAAGATGCCTAAGATGCCTCCATTAAGTACAGAAAAGATAATTCATAGCAGCCATTGGAGTACTCTGCAGCAGGTAACTATACAGAAGATTTAGAATGAAATTGGAATCCACAACATAGCTCTTTTTTATTATTATTTTATTTTTTTTTAATTCAGTATGTCAACAAATGCTATTTCAGAAGAGGAGATTTATCACTGAGCAGGATATGGATCTTAGTGAGAGTTCCTCTACACAACTGGCAGGGCAATGAGAATTTGCCTTTTTTTGAGACTTTTGAATGCCTAGAAGCATTGTGGAGCAGACTAGTGTGGTATTAGTCTTCAGACAATTGATAGTATCTTAAGTCTATAAAAGGCAGGAGCACGTAGCTCCTATTTTCTGTTAAATTAATGTGGTTTTGCCTTGGTATGAGGGTCTGCATTTCAGCTCCTGCTTCTCTAGCCTCTTCAGAGTTTTGAGACTTGTCTCTTCCAGAAGCAAGACACTGCTGATCAGCTCATAGGTGGTGTTTTGCCATAAATAACATCTCTTGGTTCTCAGCACTTCCTTTTCTTTCCACTTGCTAACTTAATTACTGTATGCTTGCTCTGTGCTCTCATCTTGGTATCCACTTTGAGATGACTGCATACGCTTTTAGTCTGAAATATTTCTGTCTATTTTTGCATACTCGTTATTTATGATAGTGTGATGGGAAAAAATTCACACATACAATAAGTTATTCAGTGCTTTGCTTAGCATTAATCTTCCATCCATTCAAATTTCATGTCATTAGTAAAGCACTGGTTTTGTTTTAAGGTGGATGTGAAAATCATTGTTTTCATTACAACTTCTCCTATTTAGCAGATCAAACCCACCTTTGTCATCCTTCTCTACATGAAAGGATTAGCATTAGTTGCTTGCATTTTTCTAAAGTGTTAGTAGAATGTAGTTTTGTTCTTTTTCTTTTTAAAGAAAATAACCATAATGTGACATTGTACAAGAATGTTCAGTATACGAACAATTACTTTTATTTATCAATAAATGCATGTAGGTGACATCACTTACACTTGAAGATTTGCCAGCTTGTAGTCTCTCAACGTTATCTGAGTGTTTGAATCTTCAATTTTTGACTCTGAGGCGCTGTGGACTAGTTGCACTGGAAGGACTAAGTAGCTGCAAAGACCTGAAGTATATCAATGTGGAGGTACCAAGTATATTTGATTCTTTATAATAACCCAGGTACAACTGCCAGTTCTGCTGCTTAGTTGGTTATGCACTTGTGTCCAGCTGTGAATATATAGCTTTTATTGCCTTAAGACCATAGTAATATCAACAAAATACTCTCAAATGTTAATGAAATTATACCAGCAGATTTGCATGGCATGTAAAAATTTGCATTGTAGTAAAGCAACATCCTGCAGAGGAATCAAACTATACTAAGTAAAGCACATGATCGTATCAGTCTAGGATTAGCATTAGTATGGCACAGATAGGTCTTTGGTACCTCAGATTTGTAAATTTAATGACAAATGAAAACTTTTTTGCTCTGTGATGCATCTTAGTTCCAGAACTTGACAATTTACATGAAACAACTCTCTTCTCATTTTTTATTTCATGTGCTTTAACAATATCAATTCACAAGAAAGTTAATATGCCCTTATTTCCAGTAGGAAATGGGAGATGTGGTTACCTGGGACATGGAGAAGGCTGAGGTAGCTAACTTTTTTGCCTGTCTTCACCAGAAAGTGCTCCAGCCACACCACCTAAGTCACACAAGGCAAGGGCAGGGACTGGGAGAGTGAAGAACTGCCCACTGTAGGAGAAGACCAGGTTCAAGAATATCTAAAGAACTTGAAGGTGCACAAGTCAGTGGGACCTGATGAGATGCATCTGCAGGTCCTGAGGGAACTGGTGGATTAAGTGCCTAAGCCACTCATATTTGAGAAGTCGTGGCAGTCCAGTGAAGACCCCACTGTCTGGAAAGTGAGAAACATAATCCTTATTTTTAAAAAGGGAAAAAAGGAAGACCCAACCTGTGTGGTGTGGTTGGCATGCTGGAGGGAAGGATGCAATCCAGAGGGACCTTGACAGGCTTGAGATGGGCATTTGCAAAGATCATGAAGTTCAAAAAGGCCAAGTTCAAGGTCCTGCACCTGGGTTGGGGCAATCTCAAGCATAAATACAGGCTAGGTGGAGAAAGAGTTGAGAGCAGCCCTGTGAAGAAAGACTTGAGGGTGTTGGTTGATGAGATCAACATGACCTGGCAGTAGGATATGTTGAAATACCTGTGTCCCTTTCTCAGTTTTCTTACCAATTCAGGATATAATTCCTGGAATTTGATAATTTGGGTACCTCGAAATACAAGAGTGAAATATTTGTATAAGGGCATAATATATCTGTGCTTCCAGTCTTACTGAGATTGGTATTTTTATGTGATTTTTATTTTTTTAGATCAAATATTACAGAACAGTTTTGGGTTTATGGTTTGTTTTTTGTTTTTATTTGTTTTAAAATGTTATGCCTTTAAAAATACACAGGATTCCCCCACTAGGGCATGTCAGGATAATTTACTTAAGGAA